TGTGTGTGTATATGAGTGAGTTGCCTTTAAACATTTTATTATTAGCTTTTCAGCAAAATGTAAAAACAAATTATTATGAAACATAAAAGTCATTAAACAAATATGTAAAGGTTAAAATGCAAAGAATATTGAAATTGTGTAAGTGTATAACATTTCAAAAAAATTGGTTTTAAAAACACAGTTTAACTTTTCAGTTTAAATGTGAAAGCTATTATATAGCTAACACTTGGTATTCACTTGTTGATCCAACAATATTACAATATGGTTATTGTCTGAATAAAAATATGCAATTTTAATTAGTATGGCAGAAATTAAGAGGGGTTTTTAAAAAAAATGAGTTGGAAACCAACATAAAACAACCACTTTTTAAATTGTACTTTTAATGCCAAATCTCATTGTTACTGTTTGATTGTACAACTTCTCCCTGTGACAGTTAGCCCCGGTATCCCTTTTTTGAATGGCTATTTTCATTTTCAGCATTTTTATATTTTTAAAGACAAGAAGCTCAGGTTTGTCGTCATCGGCGTAGGTGTGTGTGCGTGTTTGAGGTTTAAAGTGCAGTTGCCGGTCGCGGTGAAGATGTGTGTGAGGGGAATGGTGAGATGGCTCTGGGACTAAGCCTGCTCTTAGTCTGCCATCTCAGTCAGGAAAGCCTCTGCAGATTATCCTCGAGCTGACAGCAACCAAAATAGAATGAGCTTGATTCCCTCTTTTTTGTGTATGTGTGCATGCGCTGCCCTTTTTCTTAGTCTCTGTCTGTCTGTCTCTTTCTCTCCCACTCGGTTTCCCTCCTGCAGTCATTTTTGTTTTTATTCGCACACTCTCCGAATCCTATCCTCGCATGGCTTTTGGCCTACTTATTGTATTATCAAGCGTCAGTGTTTCTGGGTAAGCGAACGTGTGAATGCCGTTGTGTATGCGAGTGTGTTCGTGTGCGAATGTTTGCATGTGAGCGAGTGACCGCACCCCATTGATTTGTGAAGAAATCAGCTCCAAACTCGAAATCCACGATTGGCCCAGCATTCCTTCCAGGGCTCAGCACAACTTTTTGTCTGCCTAATGTTTTTAGGAGCTTCCAGTAAATGTAACTGCCTTTATATTGGTGCCTCACCGATGTTCCTTATTTATATCTTTATTGACAGGTTGAAGAAATCCCAAGACTAGGTATGTTTGAAAGCTGTTGCTTTTTCAGACCACCGTGAGCGATAGCTCCCTGCGTTTGTCAGTTTAAGACCTGGAGTGATAATAAGCCCTTTGTCTGTTTGTGTCTGTAATTTACAGTCCTTTTGTTTTGAATATAACGTGCTTTTGTTTAATCGTTATGCATTGAAACCTTGCATGTTTTCAGATGATATGTAAATCTAACAGCCTCCATGTCAGACACGGACTTCGGGTCACTGAGTTTAGACTCTGCGAGTTCAAGAACACACTTCGACAATGGCGTAGCAAATGGCTGTTACATTATCAGACCCCAAGGAGGCTTTTCTGCATAAACCTGCTGACCCTGTGCAGGCACGACATGCCCGTCTGAGTGTAATAAACCTCCGTAGGGGCTGGATGTGGGGGCCCAAGTCTCCCTCTCTCACCTTCCTAAAACACTTCCAGTTGCTGGCTCCCCACGCTCTGCCGTGGCTCTGACGTCGGTATCGAATCTCCTGACTTTGTCTTGATTGTATTAAATCTGCAAAACACAAATTAGAATGAATGTAAAAGAAATAAACGATGAAATTCTTGGGCTTTCTGCGGCTTCTTTGTTTTCTCGGCTCACAAGGATGAGTGAAGGCAGGTTAACGGGGACAGTGGGCCGAAAGCCATGGGGGAAGGGCTTTTTTTCGTACATACTATCCATTTCAAATTTAAATGGAGCTTCCTGCTTCATAATCATCATCTCCTTTGAGGGTATTTAAAGAAGCTTTATAATATAAAACATGTTTGGACATATATCAAGACATGTTTTAGATGGTTAGAAGCAAAAAAGTTGAAACCATTTCAAAGTTACTGAACATAATTAAACATTTTTACAATAATTTATTTTAAAATCAGAAATCTACAAGAATTTACATTAGACATTTGTATCAGTTAACAGCAATTATTACAAAAGAAAATTGCCAGTCTACAATTCTTATCATACATTCTGAATAAATCAATAGTTTCTTTCTAAATGTAATTATGCTGATGGACCACATACACAGAGGCTCTCAAACGCATTCAGACATTTAAAAACTGATGAATGTCTTTCTATTTCGCAAAACATTTCACAAAAAGTTTGTTAGGTTGCTTTGGACACTTTCATCTCTCAACGTTCAGTATAACTAAGCAATTATGATTTTTTTAAACAGCATATTTATTTAAGCAATAACAAGGATAATGGGGCTGTTTTGCGTTTGTGCTGACTCGAGTTTTCAATCTTTGTTTTAGTTTAATGCGTTCTGTTGGTTTGTGGTCAATTCCAGGGCACTTTTGTTTTCTTTCAGCGGGGGTAATAAACCCATAACGCTGTCGGCCGCATTCATTTAGCTTTAATATCCTCCGCTTCTCATTTTTCCTTACTAATCATTACTGATGTTTCTTTGATCCTCAGCAACTGGGTTGTTATGTGAATTCTGAAGACCCCTGCTTCTGTTCCACAGCACTCTGTATCTATATCTAATTATTTATTAGCCACTTTAATAGCAAGGATATTTTCAGTGTGTTGCTATAGAAATTATATATCAGTTTTCTCTGTTATTCTTCAGGTGGGGTTTTTAAGCATATTTGTGAATGTCAGGCTTGAGGAAAATGGTGGTCAGCTAGTCAAGTCTCAGGTCTCTATATACGGATACAAAGCTTGCCTGTCTGTAAAAGTTTCAGTACAACTTTAACAGTTTTTTTCTCCTTTTCTCTCCTGCAGTACATAACAAATCATCAAAGCCGGGATTAAAATTTCGTGAAGGAGCAGCTTTGACTGCTGGAAGACTTAAGCGTATTAGCTTTAAAACCAAGATGGGAGTTTCAAGTGATGTATGGCAGACTTCAAAGATGTTTTAATCTGTCAGTAGGCATGCTCTTGCACAGGCTATTTATATTAGGACACAGTGTTTCTTCTGCTTGCACATCCTAATCAATGGCTTCTCCGGCTAGACCCAGCCTGATGTTGGTGTTAACCAGTTATTAAACAGCTGCACTTCCTCTAGACTGTTTCCTCTGCTTTTCTTTAGAGTGGTCTTTAGAGGCACATGTACTTATTATGAATACTGATTATGAATAATCATTTTATGATTTAATGGTCACAACTGCACTTCTATTCATGCTACCGAAATGTATTTGGACTCTTATAGGTCACACTTAAAAATGTACATTTCTTTGCATTATATCAGTATATCAAACTGAGTGTCATTTATTTTACAGAAAGACAAAACATTTGACAAAAAGAGTTTTGTTCGGTTGTTTGGACTCTTTCTGGTTAGTGTAACATTCATTGTTAATGGGATGAATTACAGCTGTGTTTGCTCTGATTGAACACATGTAGTTGACATGATATCTAAGAGGATCGGCAGTATTTTGTATTTTCTTTTGTATAACCTTATTAATTGGGACACAAATACACTATAAAAAATGATATGATTTGTAAGTCATGGCAACTTATGTTTTAACGTTGACTCATCAACTTTCAACTTTTTATAAGTTATATGAAGTTCAACTTTTTAAGTCGGTTTAATGTTATTTAAGTTGAAATGACTTTTACAACCAAGTTGATATACCTAAAAATTTATGGCAGCAACTAAAGTCTTTAAATTGAAATAGGTGGAATTTTTTACAGTGAATATTGCTACTGTTAAAATTAATTTGTTGCACTGCAGAACAATTTAAAATAATTAACTATCAAAGGAAAATGGTGTTTAAAATGTTTTGACTAAAATAAATGGTGACCACAGGACTTGAAACACATTTTCCCTAATACATTTATATAAGAATTAAAATATTGATGAAAATAAATGAATACATTCATAAGCGTGTGTAGATATCCACATCTGTGAAATTGTGGAAACTGTGTAAAATTAGTTGGTAATAACTGAAATAATATGCTATAACTAAAATAGCACAAGTTATTTCTGGAGCCCCAGCATCATTTGTTTACAACTGCTACTTGGTTTAATATTTGTATGTAGTGCAGCGACATTTTTAAGGTTTATTTCCTGCAGCAAATTGTAACATTAATGCAAATACACAATCTGCTACATGTGAAAGTTTGTTAAATTAACAAGGAAGTGATCATTTCAGGTTTTGTTCATCCAAGTTCAACAGCATCCAGAAAAGAGTATATTACCTGAATGCAGGCGCTATATCATGATGACGTGGAAGATATTGTCATTCTGTACAAAATCTGAAGTACCACTGCTTTCTTTATGACTATACAAAATGCTCTGTTTATTGATTTATCCCAAGATAACCTGGATAAAAGGAGTATAAAGCCAAAACCTTTTAATTCACCTTAACCTTGTTAACTGTAGTACTGTTCTTGTTGTTACTTAGAACTTTTGTTCACTAGTGACTAAGCTTTTATTTTTTCACTTAAATACTGTTGTTGTTGTTGTTATTATTACAAATTATATTTCAGCCTAACAATTTGTGTGAAAGTTTTTGAACAATAAAGATTTCATAATTTAGTGTCACATAATTTAGTGTTACTTTTTGAAATCCCACAATACTCTGGTATTCCCAATTTTAAATGCAATTATAAATTCCAGCATATGACGTTTTATACCCCACTGTATGATACAAATTAAGAATGTATGTCCTGATTTGATCCTGTGCTTTTTTCCTGTTTTTCGTTTTCCTCATCACTTTGTCAACTGTCTTTTTATGAATTTGCAAACACTGTTCATACAAAGATGTGCACACAAACACTTAAAATTGAATTGACCCTTTTCCAGACACGTTTCTGTTGGGAGTTTTAAAATATTGCCATGTGTAAGCCCTACAGGTACTTTGAATGGAGAGCAGTGTTCTCTGTGAACATGGCCATGCCTGAGGTGAGGTTTTTTTTCGCTCTGAGATTATTCATCTGTTTGTTTTGAGCTGTTCATTTGTCATCAGTATGACTTTCTTAGTGTTATGGAGGTTTATACTCAGAAAATGGAGAGAAAACAAAGACAAAACATCTCAATGTTGAAATGTTTCTCTTTAAATCTCTCATTTAAGCATTATAGTAATATACTGCTAAATCACTGTGAAAAGCACACCGTGATTCAGCCGCTGTTTTACCTGAAAGTGTTACAAACGGCTGGAAGTCACGCCTGCGTGATTTTTGGAGCTGAATGTGGCTGTGTGTTTGTCTGAGACAGTGATATCACTCTCCCTCATTTAAAGTGAAATGTGGCAGTTTGATTTCATGCATCAAGGAGGAATCTGAATGTGTTTTCTGTGCTTGGCTATAAATAGCAGATAACGGCTCTTTCCAGTTCCAGAAATAGGTTCTGTGGAATTGGATTCCAAGCCGAGCGACACTTTCCTTTTTAAACAAGCAAATATGCAGGACATACATTACCATGTTGAATTAAGAGTGCCACTTTTGAATTCATCACTTCACAGTACAACACGAGGCTCTGGATCAGACATTTGACGTAACACAGCTTTTTCTAAATAACAGAAATGACGAATTTAATTGAGTTAAAATTTCAGGACTGAACTTAGAATAAAAATGAGTTGAGATTAATCTTATGATTATATTATAATTATTAGCAGTTTCTTTTGAGAAAGGCAAAGCAAATAGTATTTGTCTTAGTTCTGTCAATTTGTTGTATGAGCTGTGGGAGAAATTTCATTCTAGTTTCAATGACAATTATACTTTCAGTCATTTATAAATAAACGTTCTTTTATTATAAACTTTATTATAGATAAAAAAAATTAAATGTCAGTGATTTATTAGTCAAAACTGTCAACAGATCAAAAAAAGTCTTGTTAAAAGGAAAAGCTTGAGGTATTTTGTCATTTATTTTGCACAAACTGTATATTTCTGTACAAATGTTTTACTCAAATTTACTTTTAAAAATGTACTTAGATGAAATGTAAGAATTCAATTAACGTTTCTGATAGTATTCAGCATGCATGATATTATGTAATAAAATTATTTTTGTTTTGGCAACATTTTCACTGCCCCCCCCCCCCCCCCCCCCCCAAAATTCCTTGATTGGAATTTTCTGCCTCATAAAACCATTTTCCTGCTGTTTGTTTCTTTTTAATTAGATCATATGATGCACAAGGACAAACAAATGATTTGTTTGGTTTAATTAGTCTGAAAGCATTTTTTCCCTTTCAAGTGCTGGCTAATTTTTGCAATCCTTTAAGTGCTAGACTAATTTAGGGTTTATTTCAATTTAACTTACTTCATTAGAAACGGTTTAATTTATCGCACATCATATGCAAACCAAGTAGATATTTCAGATGCTTTTCTCACCTGGGACTGTTCAAGGGCATTAGAGATCTGCTTGAGCTTACTGTATATTCATCCACACACACACACACACACACACACGCACACACACGGGCGATATAGCAGAGCTGTGTGTGGTAGCGGCTATGCGGCTTTGATCTGGCCATTTCCCTTGTCCTTTGTCAAAAGCAGCCTGAGAGGCAGAGATGTGTGTGTGCTGAAGTACGAGGCTCCATTGAAATGTTAAGAGTGCGCAACTTTCTTCCTTCCCTACCGGCCTTTCTCGTATTAGAATAGTCTTTATTATGTGGGCAGAAAGTGAGGGGAAAACGGGAGGGTGCGTGAAGGGGGCTCTCCTGTTTATTAATATAGCAGGCAGGTTCCCACACACGGAACAATGCGTTAGCCAAGCGAGGCGGCATTGTCGGAGCGGCTGAAGCGACACCATGCTGGAAGTCAACCGAAGACATGCACGACGTGATCGGCTCATGTGTTTTACAAAACGCGGTGCGCGGAGCATGTGTGCTTCTCTGTGAAAAGCACACCGTCTACAGTTAATTCACGTTGTTCGTGAATGAAGCCGAACACGAGACCTAATGCGGCAGACATGCTGATGGAAAGTCTAACGCAGAGTCAGAGGAAATTGCAGAAGGTATCGGCCAAGTTCAAATGCACTTTCACCCCCCGTCCCTCCTCTTCCCTTCCTGCCATTCTTCTCGCGGCACAAACGGCCGTCAAGCTAGGTACGCGTTCATTCATTGTGTGCGGCAGGGGGTCCCTCACTTCAAACCGGCCCGTTTAAAAGAGGGCTGCGAAGTCCCACGGAGTCCCCTGAGCCGTGAGCGGAGCAGACAGGCGTGACTGGACCAGCCGACATCAAAGTGGCTGGAGCCCTGCCCCTCCATCCTGCCCACACCGTGCCCCTGCCGCGCCCGCCCGGAACAGCCTTCATTAGGACACTGTTACATGGGTCACTGACATAGATAGAAGAGTGCCCGTGATAGAAAAAAAGCAACATTTTAGTAAATGTTTTTTACACCATTTTTAAGACGTTTCAATTGAATGACTCCAAAATTGTGGTAGCTATAACCATCAAGTAGGCCTAATTGATTGGTTTTAAAAGTTTTTAAATATGCTTAAAAACTTTAAAAAGAGTTCATTCAAGTATCAAGTTTCTGAAGAGTTGTACCACATAACATTTTACAACTTTCACCAAACTTGCCTTGTCATAAAAAGGTGAAATTAACTTGATTCTAAAACAAAATATACACCTTGAATTCATGTGTGGAAGTTTTTGAAGTTTTTCAAGGTAAAAGTATTTTATATTAAACAGTTTAAACGTTTTTATTAAACTTTTTTCCCCCCATAAATGGAACAGTTACAGTTAGGCTACAATATTTACCTCATGGCTTTTGTGTGTTGACTAGCATCTGTTTCAAACATTAAAGGAAATAAAGTACAAGTAAAAAAGTAATTAAAATATAAGGTGCAATTATCAAAGGAGTTTATTCTTTTGTTTCATTATCTGCATGATTCATAGAGCAAAGTTATTTTCTGTAAAGTAAATTTTCTTTTAATAGATTGTACATTGACAGCTACAATAGGCTACATTACCTATTGTGTAGGTTCTTACTTTGAAACAATTTTCACTCATAAATATAATGAATAAATCAGAATACATTATATTCTTTTATATTGTCTACATAATTCAAACATTAAAGATATTTTAGTAACACTTTACAATAAAGTCCAGTAGTTAACGCTAATTAATGCATTAACATTGAGCAATAGCCTACATTTGTTACAGTATTTATGAATCTTTGTTAATGTTAATTAACAAAAGTACAACTATTTCATG